CTGATGCTGCTTGGCCTGCTGTGTTCATCCAGCTCTACACCTGTTATCTCGGATTCTCCAGCATCTGCAGTTCCTACTATCTCTCAAACTAATGCACATAAAGTTTCTTGTATATTTCATGTTATTTTAAAATACATTGGTCTTGAAGCTGGCCCTACCTACAAAACTAATCAACCAATCAAGCTGTCACTTGCCAATGCTCCCAATCAAATTAATAATGGTTAAATGAAAAAATTAACATTTTTCCAATCCACCTGTTCAAAGAGATGTTATTAGACACTTCCTTGTGCAGGTGGGACCTGAATCCAGGACCCTTGTTCCTGCCACTGGACCACTACCACCGCACCACAAGAGTGCCCTTTTTAACAGATTGATTTTTCTGAATTTAACTTAATTTTTCTAGACAACTTGTTCAGAGATAATATTACACATCTCTGGAGCAGATGGGATTGGAACCCATGCCTCCTAGTCCAGATGTCGGGATACTACCACCTGCCATAGGAGGACCCTAAATTAATGACTGGTGACTCAATTTCACCCACCTGCAGGACTGAGATTCTGAGGGGAAGAGAATTAGGTGCAAGTACACCAACTGGCACTTTAAATCTTAAATATTTAAGTCATTTTCAGTTATGTAAAATTGTGCAACTCTCAGGTGATAAACAAATCACTCCTGACAACACTTTTTTTTTTTTCCTAACAATCCCATTTCAAGTTGTATGTCTTTTCATTTTCTTGTGGGATGTTGCCATCCCTGGTCCCTATAACTGATATGAAGGGATACTTTTTAAGATGTTATTCTGAAACACTACCCGATTGCACTGGTTCAATGCAAATTTGAACAGATTGTTGGAGAAGTGAATAACACCCCACAATTTCAGGTGCAGTTTGTAATTTGGTCACAGGTTGTGCCCAAATTGTAAACTTTACACTAAGATGTTATTGAATAATTTCAGCACTTTGTTTTTTTTTCTCTAAAGTTTTTATTGTTTCAGTCCTTTTCAAAACATTAGCAGTTTTAATACATCAAAAAAGTATTATTTAAAAGAATGCATTGTTAAAAATAATCCAGAAATATTAAGGGAAATGAGACAAAAGCAGGCATCTCAGATCACTCATGGTCTCACTAAATGGCCGAAGAGAGACAAGGGATCAAATGGCTAATTCCTGTTCCTATTCTATAAATTTATTCTGTTTTACAAGTAGTCATATGTTCACACACATGGTAACCTACAAAAATATGAAACTCAGCAAGAAGCCAGATCCCTCAATGCTGAGACCACACTTTCAATACCAGCCCACCCAACAGTTATAAATCTGCTCGTCCAAAAAAATTGTAGGCTAATAAAGCAATACAACTCTTTTTCAGTAGTTGCTTTTCTCAGAATTTATGATTCCAATCTAGTATGTTGCATTAACATTTTTTAAACAGTATTCCTTGGCCATGTTTTAAATATTGTATTTACTATAAAAATAAGCTAAACATCAATTTCTTATAGTTTAAAATAAAATTTGATAATTTTCTTTACATGCAACTTGATTAGAAAATAATGGTTGAAGCATTGTAAGGAATATAAAATAGTACAGCATAGGTGCAGGCCCTATAGGCCGCCACGTATTTGTTGACCATGATGTCATTCTACTCTAATCCCATTTGCCTGTACGTAGTCCATGTCCCTGTATTCCATACTAATTCATAATACTATGTCTAAGTACCTTCTTAATTTTAATATTACCTGCTACTACCACTTGCCTTGGCAGTGTGTTCCAGGCACCTACCAAACTTTTTTTTGTTTAAAAACTACTTTCCTTGCAGTCATCTTTTAAATTTTTTTTACCGTTGTCACTTTAAACCTATGCTCCCTCGTATCTGACATTTCCACCTTGGGGTGGGGGGGGTGGTGCGGTGGTTGTGGAGTGTGCATTGAAAGACTCCAACTGTCCACCCTATCCATGCCTCTCTCAATTTTATACACTTTTTGTCAGGTCACCTCCCCTCGCCAGCCTTTGGCACTCTAGCAAAAACAAGCCAAGTTTATCTAAACTCTCCCTATAGCTGCTGTACTCCAATCCAGGCAACATCTTGGTAAACTGCTTTATCACCCTTTCCAAAGTCTCCACGTGCATCCTGGTCTATATCCTGCTATATCCTTTAGCCTTTGTCACTATCCACAACTACACTTATTTTCATGTCAGCTGAAAACCATTTGTTCATCCGATTAGTTTATGTATAATAAATGTATGTAATAAATCAAACTCAGCCAGAGGACTTGGCACAGATCCTTCCAGAGCACATTCGTCACAGACAACTGAATAGAGTTGAGACAAGACCTCCCCTGCATAAAGCCATGCTGACTATCCCTAATAAGACCATTCTTCAAATGCGAGTAAATCCTGTCTTGAAGAATCTTCTCCAATAATTTCCCTACCGCTAATGTAAAACTCGCTGCCTATGATTTCTTGGATTATCTTCTTAAAGGAATAACATTGGCTATTCACCAGTCTTCTGGGATTTTCAATATCCTAGGCTAGATCCCATCAGGCCCTGGGGACTTAATGTTTTTCAAGACACCCAAAACCACCACCTTTAATATTGACATGCCCCAGAATATTATCATATTCCTCCCTAATCTTACTATCGCCCATATCCCTCTCCTTTGTGAATACTCATTAAGGACTGCCCATTTCTTCTGGCTCCGGGCATAAATTTCCTCCTTTTATCCTTGAGTGCACTGACCCTTGCTCCTAATATCTGTATAAAATACCTTGGGATTCTCTCTATTCCTACTTGCCAAGGACATTTCAGCCTTCTCGCCCTCTTACTTTCTTAAGTTCTTTTCTACTTCCTTTATACTCAAGGGTCTTGTTTGATTTCAGTTTCCTGAACCTTCCTTATGCTTCCTTTTTTTCTTTTTGACTAACTTGTAATACTTTTTGTCATCCAGGATTCCCAAATCTTGCCATCCTTATTTTTCAGCCTCACAAGAATGTGACAGTCCTGAATTCTGATCAACTGACTCCCAAATGTTAAATGTAAATTTACCCTCAAACAGTCTAATTCTCCAGTTCCGTCCTCATACTGCATAGAAAATCTGTGATTTTTCTTTTAGTTTTCCTTTTGGTTTTAAAACTAATAAATTATATTCAAAATAACTTAATTATGCTTTTGATAAAATTCAATTTTTACAAACCTATTTGGAAACAAGGTATGCTTCTATTTTGTTGCAAATATATTTTGTGTTTTGTTAATGATACAGATGCTTAATACTTTTCAAACATTTCACCCCATGTTAAAATATAAATCTCAAACAGATTAATACTGCAATTTGGAGAGAGGAATTTAGTATAAATGCCTTGAGTTCATGTGCAAGAATTTGAAGATTTGTTCCTTTATCCATGTTTAAATTGAAATAATGGGGAGGCAATGGCCTAGTGGTATTATCGCTGGACAGTTAATCAAGAGACCCAGGTAATGGGTCCTAGGGACCCAGATTGGAATCCTGCCACAGCAGATGATGGAATTTGATTTCAATTTTAAAAAAAGTTTGGAATTAAAAGTCCAATGATGACCACAAATCTGTTGTTGACTGTTGGAAAAATCCATCTGGTTCCCTAATTGTCATCCTACATGTGCCTCCAGCAATGCGGTTAACTCTTAACAGCCCTCTGGGCAATTAGGGATGTGCAATAAATGTGGCGTAGACAGAGGTGCCCTCATTCCATGAATGAATTAAATAAAAATCAAATTCCTCAAATGTTTTGTAGAATTTTCGATGAATTTCTCAATATCTAAGGAAAATACGCTAAATGTGCTGATTTATTTCTGTATCTTTGTAAAGCTCCTTATCACATCATTTGGAAATGATCTGCCCTGCCTGAATCCCAAATCAAATGGAAGGGGGTTTTGCTTCCAAAATAGTTTCCTAACACTTGAGTTGTACGAAGAGGAAATCAACATTTTCAATATTTCATTTTCTGATCATTAAAACCGCTTGCATTATTAATGTTATGCATATTAGTTATTGAATGTAAAACCATTATTTGAAAATTAGTACATAAAAAGCAGATGAAACTAGTTTAATTCCCTACATTTGATTGCTGAGGTATTTATAAATGTTCAAAATATTTGAAACTTTAAATTTTTTGGGACCTGCTGATTTATTAAATATTATACAAAAATATTCTCCATTATCTGACCCTTGTTTACTTCCTTCTGTAATGGTACAGAAGCCTTTATTTTTAGTTTAAAGTAACTGTCTTTATTTTGCAAGTAAACTAATAACCCATACATTTTTTTTAACTATTTATGTCTTTCTTACTTTTTAAGTCAATATTTGTTTTTCTTTGAGGGTTTTACTATAGATGCAAACCTTGGTCAAAATATTTCATCAATTTCTTTCAGTAATGTAGGGGCATCTTTTTGGATGTCTTAAGGTATTTCTCCCCAACATATTTCCTTCGCACTAACTTTTATTTTTAAATAAAAAAAGTTATAATTTTCCCTTAACTATAACTTGATTGACTTCTTAAAAAATGTAATGAAGATAAGATTGTCAAAAATTGTTAACTAATTCAATACACAAGTTTTATTGAAATAATTTTTGGAAAAAGCTTATTTCCATGTGCTTTTCTGACCATCTCAGCTTATTATTATCATGTAAACAGTATAGTCTCAAGCCTATAATTATATCTGTTAACATATATAATTAGATGTTTATAAATGTCCTTATTGGCAGAAATTTATTTATACTTTCTGCCAATGTTTTTGGGGTTAAGACAATTATAAAACATTGCATGTTTTGAACTTTGAATAAATCAGACTTTTTAAAACTAACACACTCTATTAAATTTATATTATTTATGTGCATGTATAAGCTGAAGATTACAGCATTATTTAAATCTAAATTTTCTGTTTAGTTATTTTTGGGGAGTATACTGTCACGTTTAATTGCCTACTCAAACCTAGTAAAGCTGCTGTGCTTTTATGCAAATATTTAAATTCATCAATTTAGTATCAATAACAGTTTGTGTCTATTCAAGGCATATGGCCACTCATTCACCTCAGAAGACCCACAAGTGTACTTATTGTGAGAAAATGTTCCATCGTAAAGATCATCTAAAAAACCATCTACAGACTCATGATCCAAACAAGGAAGCCTTCAAGTGTGAGGAATGTGGGAAAAACTACAATACAAAGCTTGGCTATAAACGTCATCTGGCTCTGCATGCTGCAACTAGTGGTGACCTTACCTGTAAAGTGTGCTTACAAACATTTGAAAGCACAGGAGTGTTACTGGAGCACCTGAGGACACATGCTGGCAAGTCATCAAGTGGCACAAAGGAAAAAAAACACCAGTGTGACCACTGTGACCGTTGTTTCTATACTCGGAAAGATGTTCGGAGACACATGGTAGTACACACTGGAAGGAAAGACTTCCTTTGTCAGTACTGTGCCCAGAGATTTGGTCGGAAGGACCACTTGACACGCCACATGAAGAAAAGCCATTCACAGGAGCTGCTGAAGGTGAAAACTGAACCACCAGATTTTATGGATCTATTTAGCTCTAATACGTCATTGTCCATAAAAGATGAGCTAACACCAGTGATGTCTGTGGTTTCCAGTGAGCTGACATCTAGGCCATTTACAAATGCTTTACAAATGAATATTTACAGTGCCCATATTCAAACGATGCAAACGCTAGGGTCAACAAACCAAATGGTATCCACACCATTACCTTTAGGAATGGGTTGCCCACTAGAAATTGAATCTTCAATTCGCTCTCCTCAAGAACTCTCCTCAAAATATTTTCTTGGCTCTACCTCATATGCCATTGCAATGCCTGAAAAAGGACAACCATTAAAGAATGAAATAGATAGTTACTTAATGGATCTACAAAGTGATTTGCTTTCCTCCTGCCATGACACTCAATCATCCTCCTCAAAACTAGGCTTGGAATTGCAGGCAGGGTCTCTGGGGGATGGATATGGGGATATTTTACTTTCAAAAAGCCCAACTGTCCTTAGTGAACCTCTGAATACATCACCCTTGGACTTTTCTCAGTTGTTAAGTTTCTTGCCACTTAATAGCACTGCATACAATCAACCAGTTTCTTTAGGTAATCCTGGAATGTGTTATACACAGGACGAACCTCACACATCCCTCATTCCTCTTGCATCACAGAGCCAGGATTCACATGAAACTGGCAACAGTATTGGTCTCCATGCTCTTCATCCTTTATCCACAGTCTTCACGACTAGCTTAAGCACAACGACACTACCACGTTTTCACCAGGCTTTTCAGTAGATGATGCAACTTTCTTATCAACATCTTTTTACAGATATTCTCCTATATAATGCCAGTTATCCAGATGGAATATTAATGAATTGGACAGTAGACTCATTAACGGCTTCTAATATCTTTGCTACTTTGTGAATAGTCACAGGAGGCAAGCAAAACCGGGAAAAAATTGATAGCACAAGACTGTATGTCTATCTTTATTCATGATGGGAGCATCCAATGTAGCAGCTAATGTATAATAAATGTGCATTACAGGTTATTAAGTAGATTTGAATCTAATCCAGCATTGAGAGAATCAACCTGACCAGCCTAAAGATTTATAGAAAGAATATACACTCCATACACCCCATCCAACACCAAGATTGATGGTTCTTATAAGTGTGACTTTGAGGCATTAAAAAGAATCTTTCAGGTTTAGTTATCAGAGTGACTGCAATATTCACAGTGTGTTTTCCTTTTTTATTTGAAATAAGCAAACTATTAAATTTTAAAACCAATGTTCATGTTGTTTTGTGCAACGATTTTGCAGAGTTCTTCAGTAGGTCTTTTAGTAGTCCTTATTTGTGATTTTTTTTTTGAGTATCAACATCAAATACCTTTTGAACTGGGGGCATACCTGTGCGCTGAGGACCAAGCAGTTCTTAAAATCAATTGCTCAAAAAGTTATGGGGAATAGGTAAATTTATATGCAAACTGAAACACTTTGAAAGTCTGTAAAGCTTTATAAGTGCCATCATATTCAATACAGTACCTTTTAAAAACTCTGCCTATGACTTTATTGAAAATTCATTTACCATGTTGTAATACAAATCCTGCATGAATTCTATTTTCCAATTTAGCAATTGTATTCCTTTTTAATTTTTAAGTTTCAAGTGAGAATGAAGTTTATGCATTATGTAATGGGTATTCACCTGAACCTTTTGAATATTCGATCTGTCAATATATTTGACAAAAGCTAATAATGCATATTCACCTACATTTGCTTATAGGTTTTGAATATTCTCCAATTAATTCCTATTTTAAAACAAGGCAAGTGAAAGAGATGATTTCTGAAATCCATGTGGAGCCTTGAGAGGAAGAGAAATCAACTAGTAGAAACTAATGCCAAATTTATGTTTGGTAGAATCCTTTTTCATTTGTTACATAAATCACACATTCTCCTTGCTTTCTTTTGAATTTTAATAACATTTAGCCTATGTGATTAGTTAAATATTTTGGGCTATCTTTTTTTTTCGCAGTACTTGCTGCTTTGAAAACCACTTGGCACATTCCAGGAGAACCATTTCCTTCCTTCCTTCCTTCCCTAAAGTTAAAAATTATGACATCTATATTAGATTGATTTTCTTCAGAGATTTTGTTAAATCTTTGTTTATCTCCATTTTACTAATATTTACTTTCATTTCTGTCTTATCATTATGCACTTGAATTTCATCTTTCGTTGATGAAATAAAGACTGTGTGGAACTGTTATCTATTGCTAACATCAAACTCTATATTCCTTTAAAAACCTCAGACCTAATTTGAACTGAAAAATTAATTTTACTTTTTTGCATTTATAGTTCGAAAAGATACACTTCAGATATGTATCAGTACTTAAAATTACTAACAGGCCCATCTGAATTTAATTTGGATTTTTCTTAATGCCTTCTTGCTGGTGAGTGCATTCTGTTTTGAGATAATGAGTACCAATTGTTTTCTTGTAATATACACAACAAAAGCCAAATATGCATTGTCCTGAAATCTAAAATTTTAAACTGGAAAATTCATCATGTCTGGCAGCATTTGTAAGTGAGAACGAGTTGATGTTTCAGGTTGATTATATGTTCTGATTAACTATCTCTACAGATGCTGCTAGATTTGCTGAGTATTTCAAGTATTATGTTTTGATTATAAATAAATGTTGGAATTAGGAAAGGATTAAACATGTTACTTTAATAGCAAATATTGGTCTAACTGATCATGATTTAACTAGCTAGTTAATCTCTGCAAGCTATTTAACAAATGAAAAGCTTTACATTGTTTACAAAATATTATAATTAAGTAGTTAGCAAGAAGTGTTGCAGTCTATTATATTGGTTGGCTGTTAGCTTTAAGTGGTACAAAAGGTTTTTGCATTGAAATTCAAAAAGGCTAAAATAATTGAATTAAAACAAAAACTGAAAATATCAGAAATCGGAGGCAAAACACATTGGAAATGATGAACCCAATTGTAACTCCTAAGTGATCTTGAGAAAGTTAATTTCAATCAATAAGCCTATGGCATTGTGGGGAGAGAACAAAAGTTGACACTTTTTTGGTATCACTTGATAGAAGTGGCATGTAACACCTAAAATGTTAACATATTTGATCTTCCCACAAATGCTCAGTGACCTAACGTATGTTCATCAATTAACTATGTTTTTCATCTCATTGGCTTCTTCAGGACATTTACTTAGTGGAATATTGCTTAATGAAAATAACCTGAAGCCCAATAGGATGAAATATAGAGAAAGCGAAAAGAACTGTCTAGCTTTAACGTGTGTGTTTTTCATACTGCTAACAACAGATTGATGCAATATTTCCACTTTAATTTTGTAGCCAAAATTATTTAGGTGCTAAGTTCTGCCCAGTAAATCTGAGTAACGATGGTTCACAATTTAGCAGTTAGTTAATACTTGATTGTCCTGAGAGATCCTAATTGTTTGTCAACCAGAAAAATGTTTCTTGCTGCATGAAATTGATTTAAAATTTGATACTCCTGAAATATGTGGATTTCTCATTACATTACAGACTATCATAGATAGTGCCCATTAGTCTGAATATATAAGTCTTTGCTTGCTTACTTTAGTTGAACCCTGTCAATGATTTTACTAAAATGATGAGCAGAAAATGAAAAATATCATTCCACCCAAACTCTTTGCTGAAAATACCAACAGGAGAAATTTGCCCTCTTTTTAGCTAGTGACTAGGAGTGGTGGTGATGAATCTTCTGGAAGTTAAATTAACACAGTATTATCACATTACAATGGGGCATGTTAATATCTGTGGGACCTTTCTTGAGCCTTCCTATTTGTGATTTAGTAATTTAAAAAACTCTGCATATTTTCTCAAATGCTTGAGTTAGAACATTGTGTTATGATTCCAGTTGAAACCTGCCTTGATAGGTCATAAGTTTTATTTTACTTTTTGTTTACAATGGAGGTCAGTCAGTGAACATATTCACAAGAGGTTGTCCAATATCTTTTGAACAAAAGAATATAAAAGCTTATTACAAAAAACAATAATTATTGGAACAGTCTCATTACAAACATTTTTTTTTTTTTTTAAAAATCATCCTTTTTATTGCTGCAATGCCCATACAGTCACTCAAACCTCAGTGAAGACTCACCACTGTCTCCATGCTGAAGCCTCTTGTCCACCTGGCAGGGCTATAATCGGTTTCCTTTCCACAAACTTCTGCACATTCGGTAAGTGCTACTTTTTTCAGTTAGTATCTGGCCCTGGGATTTTGACAACTCGGCTCACTATTGCTTAACATCCATTCCCCAAACTCGTGGCCAACAGCCTTGCATGATATTTTCCTCTCAGACACCTGCCTTCTGCTTCTGGAACTTTCCTCTCATCAGCTTGAGAACTTTTCCCCAGTACTGACTGCTCAAAACAGCACCTCTGCTATTAGGGAGCCTGTTCTGTGTGAACCTACTTCTGTCTGTTTCTCTAAGGGGGTAACTCAAATTATTAAACACCTTTTTAGTAGTTATCTCCCTCGGACACTTACTGGTCATTTACCTGAAATCACATGGCTACTTGTGATTGTTGTTTTGAACTTGATGATTTTAAAAAGAAACAAGTCAGATCTTCATACCAGAAAATTAAAATACACTTCCTTTACTTCAGAACCGCAAGTCCTCAGATACTAATCATATATTACGAACCCTTTTAATAACTGTCACAATAAAGAAGTAACTCTAATATTCTAGGTTTTTGACTCCCCAAAATAACATTGTAAGGACAGCTGAAGAAAACAGCAAAACCTCGTTCACACTGATCATCTCACATCTAAGAGAGCTCCTATTACAATTAGGGGTAAAACTCAAATTAAATATATTGTCAACAATCCTCTTAGAGTATCTAAAATGCAAGATGTTATGTTTTCCCCTCACTTATACTGGGTTGCCGGGTCTCAGATGTCTATTTCTGATCTTGTAGTCGGTGATACTTCCTGTAAAATTCATTTGTTGGCAAATCTCCAGCAACACACTTTGCATATACCTTCCAAACCAGCAATAATCATATAAGCCACTTTAATGAAGTACCCATTCTTCATCGTTGAGTTGCTAATGATTATTCCGAGGTCGTCCTCGGCATGAGTAGTGAAATAAAAAGACAGGTGGGAGGAAACCTGTTAATGTTGCAATATATGGCCTGCTGACTACCTGGAGAATCAACTGTTTAGACATACAGTATTTTAAAGTAATATAAATTCTATCTTTTGTTAGGTTTGGCAAGAAAACTGTCATGTCTATAATGTGATTTAAAGTTAATAAAGAAAATTTATCCCTACACTTAACAGTATGTAAAAACAGCGCTGTACAAATGTTGAGGTTAAGTATGAAAAGGCCATTTAGCCCAGTAAGAATTAAGATCATTACTTAACAGATTCATTCTAATTGTAGGTGTCTGTATTTTGAATAGCTGATATATTTTTAGCTGTTACCTTAGTGGATTAAGAAGATTTTAATCACCACAATGTCCCTTGACTTCAAACCTGTAGCTAGAGAGGAATTTGTGGTGGTGATGAACCTTCTAGAAATTAAATTTACTTTTTGTCCTATATTTAACACGCAATGGTTCATATGTATCTAAAAATACGTTTTCAATAAGTTCTTAGTCATCCATGTAGATGTGCTAGATAATTGAATAGTTTTGAACACAAATTCATATCTAATCAGATTAGTAACTCATTAGAATAATGACTATCCTGCAAATAAGTCCTTTCAGTTGTAGATATCAAAAAAACAATAACAGTAGACTTGCCAGTCATGGTAGTAAGAAATAGAATCAGTACTTCTGAAATGAATAAAATAACGCTGGCATTTATTTAATACTTTTCATTGAACTACCTCCGTTCTTTACATGATGAATGACCTTATTGAAGTGGAGTTACCATTGTGTTATGTTGACAAATTTCTGCATATGGTGTTGGTACTACCCTCTCAAAATGAACATCTATTGGATGTCTAATTCTCCCAGGTTGTGAGACCTGAAACCTATAAAGATTTTTAGACTTGGAAATCATATCTTTTGGAGGTAGTATTTTATAGATTTATACCTTGCAGTGCTTCTGTTTAAAGTTTTCAAACTCAGCACTGTATTAGCATTGAAAATATAAAATGTATTTAATGTTACTAGATGGAAATATAGGCCATGATCAAAAATATTTTTAAGAAAAATGAACTTTTAAATTTTGTTTGCCTGTAATCCATAGCTCTGTTCAGTTGTTCCTGGACTTTGAAGGACTTTGGATCCAACTGGGATGAGAGGCAAGTGAAGTTGAAAATTAGCCCCATCACCCAACTGCCTGACTTCTGTTTCCCTTCAGCATCTGGGCTATTTTTGTGGAGTCATCATTGGAAAATTTGGCTTTTAGTTTTGTTGTTTAACTGGCAGCAACCAATTTTTGGTTTGGAGGCAGGCACGATGGGGTCAAGTTCTCCAGTCAAGCCAAGTGGTCGCCCCATCTACCCGGGTGTAAGAGCATCCACAGGGCACCCTGCAGCAGGATTCTCTCCAACTAACAGTGGCCTAGCTACTGAATCTGTTTTTTTTACTGAAAGATGTAAATAAATTAGGGTCAGTGTGCCTCCATATTGGAAGCTTTCTGTTATTTATTTTTCAGTATTGCCGTTGTTGCTATTAAACTGGAATGCCTTTGATTAGCCCTCCATTTTTAAGGGACAGTGTACTTCTTTCTGCAGTTTAAGAGGCCATGATCAGTTCGCTCTGGGATAAGCTTGAGTGTAAAATCTGTCACAAATCCTATTTATTGGTCCCTGAGAGAGAATGCAATTCACCCAATTAAATGTTTCGTCATTCACATTAGTGGGGCTACTGTTTTTACATTTGCGAAAGAGTTAGCACTTGGGTTTTGATGCATACATTAGAGTTTTGAACTATGACTAAGCAGCACCTAGGATTTAGCTCTTAGTTGGACATTTACTGAACAATCTGATTGGACATACTGTATCCAATGTATTATTCAGCAAATGCTAATGGAAGATTTGTGTTTCTAATCCCTTCCCACCACTAGATTTTTCAGTAGATTATTCAAACAGGAGAAGATTATCTATTGTCCTTTCCTTAAAAAAAAATGAAGTCCATTAACTGCAGAAAGTGCAGCAGTTCTAATTTTTAAATAGAGGTCCTTTTAAAAATATTCAAAAGATAATGCAGAATTTCATAGATCCCAATTGAAAGTTTTGTTTTTTTTTGAGGAAGGTACATGGAATTAGAATATTAGTGCATAGCATTATTTATAAACTTAAATCAACAATCTATATTACATTGTCTAAGAAACCAAACAAATGTTCTAGTCAGTTTTGTTTTCATAAAGCCCAATATTGCATATATGGACATTATAGGGGCACTTTTGAAAATGTGCATTCTTGTTAAGGCATTTCATTTGCCAGAAGTATTCAGTGAATTGAGATATATATTGTACATGATATTTCAATTATTACTTCATTGTAAATATTTGAGAATGTAGTACATGAAACAAAATGTACAGTATGTTCTTTCAAAAATTGAGTTTTTGTGTCGGCAATATCAAGTTGGAAAATGTCTCATATTTGAAACTGTAGTTAGACTTCCTTCCTCAGGCTGAGCACCTGAAACTTTGCAGCATAGCTGAAAGAGGAATGGCGATAGGATAGCCAGTGGGTAAATGGTTTACAAATGTCCATGAGTATTTTGCACACAATCTGTATATGGAATGACGAATCCAAATTGGTTAGCCAACTAAAAGAAAGGGCACTTCTTTACATCAGAAATGCTTCTATTTAAGTACACCTTCTGACTTAAATTTAAACAAGAGAAAACTTTGTTTTTGAGGATTTCTTCTTTAGAATAAATAGAACAACTAATTAAGCTGTCTCGAAGAAAAACCCACCACACAATTGGAGGGAAAAATTTCAAAGGTGGGCAACTAATTTAACCCATCCTGTGTTAATTGACAAGTCGTCTCATTTTGAGAATAAAAAAAATCCCATAAATAAAATAACATAGATGCTGTTTTTAATTCCTACATTCAAATTGCCTCTAACTTTGAATTTAAATCTGTGAACTTTAAACAGTTAACTTTTTAGAAGTTATTTTATTTTTCAAATGTCAACTAAAGCACAAGTGCATGCTGCTTGAGAAGTGGAATTTTCATAAAATCTTAGATGTATTTTTTTCATTTGTGCAAAATTCCTTTTTTATAGATGCGCAACATCAACATGTTTTATCTATTGTTACAACACACGAGTATATAGTGAATTATGTAACATGTAGCCTTGTCTGCAGAATGTGCAAAATAACCTATATTTTTAGCACTTTCTTTATCCTTTTACCTTCAGTGTCTTTGAAGGTTGTACAGTTAACAATCATTACAAACTTGTTTCAAGTGCCGTTAGATTTCATATTCTAATATTCAAGCATTAGATATAAAACAATCTTGTACATATTTTACTTTTCTATTTAACTTTTAGCAGGTACAAATACTATAGTGTTTCTTTTTGTAAAAAAAAAGTCATATTTGCAAAGACAAGAAAGTAAACACATGGATGAATTATTGTTACATCTCAACTGAAGTAAATTCAATGGGGGAATACCTGTGCAACACTTTTTGAAGTTATATACTTGCTGCTATTTCACTTTGTTTAAATGAAACCAGTTCTCATGGTGCTGTGAACTTTCCATTTCTTAGTTTATTACTGTGATTATGTACTGCAGTTACCAACATGTAGAAAATCTGCAGTAACCTGAATACTATTAACACTTCTAAATGTCATGGCCTTCGTATGAAGCCACAATACATTATGCAGTTGAGGCAAAACAAAACTGTTTGATTTTTGATCAGATCTTAAAGCCATCAAGAATTGGTATTCCTTCAGACTCTACATAGTGGAGGTTTGCTGGAACCACGTGAATTCTAATGAATTTAAAGTGAAAATATTGTTGAACATTGTACGTTCTACCTAAAGTGTTGTTACATCTATTGCTCAGCATTTGTCCGTTCTCATAACTGAAAAATACCAATGGTTTGCACCCCCACCCCCACAGTTTGCATCACTGAACTGCAAAGTTTAAGCAGATTGAGTGAATGTTAAGAAATGTAAACAGTATTAGATATTTATGTAATTCATTTTAAAGCATATTTTAGTTTGTCAAAAAGTGGTGGAATAGCAGAAGGTAACTGCATTCCAAATTAGACTTATGTACTTGTTGCATTTCAACATTTGTTATCCTGTTCACAATAGAAGCATGTTGCTTACAATGTACATAATTATCAATGTATTTACGTACTACTGGTATCTGTGCAAATGTAGGCATGTACGATAGTGTTCAAAACTAAAGCTGCAGTAAACATTTTAGAATTTAATCTTTACATCCAAAGAAATGCTTTAAAAGCAAACATTATTTATTGTGCCAGATAATCTGCATTTTTATAAGCAAATTTACTATAATAAAACAGTTCTGCTGCAGCTCCATTTGGTCTAAAGTGTATTAGTATCCATAAACATTGGATTGAAATTGCATTGGAGATGGCCTGAAAAGAAAGAGTTGGACCAATTTTTTTTTTAATTCAGAGCTTTAAAAGGGTTTTTTCTCTTACAGGTTGGTGGAAAGGATTTGAGGAAGCCTTCTTTGGGGTTACATCCCCAAAAATTTAAAGATCAGCAGAGCCCCACTTTAGGAAATTTTACTTATGACTCAACCAGAGTCAATATCAAGAATTTGAAGATAACTTGGTATTTGTGGGAATGATGCCTGGCAGTCACGTAAGAGAGTTTCCAGGCAATCATGTTAATCTTATGGCAGCGGATTTATCATGATGGATTATATTCTATAACCTCCATCGATCCATGTACACTTCCTCCGAACCTTTCTTGCACAAACACATTGGCAGGAGAGACTGGAGAATGGCGGTAATGGGGTGGTGGCATAAAAGGAGGCAGTAATGTGGTATTGTAATGCTTACATTGCTACCTAACAGACCAGAAACCAAGTCTAAATTCCATCATGATAAATTGAGGTTGAATTTAGTAAATCTGAAGTTAATATCAGGAAAATAATCTCTCAATCTGTTGGATTGTCATAAAAATGAAACCAATTCACTGATAGCCTTGCAGAATGAAACTCTGCTGCCCCATATTTGTCTGTGTTTTGTGTATTATGATTTCTTAATGCTAAAGTAATTTAATATGTTGATCGGTTGCAAACAATTACCATGCAATGATTTCAAAAGGAAGGGGGAAAATAAAAAAAACCTGTCAACAATGATTCAGCTAAACGTAGGAGAGCTGTCGCACCAACCAGCCAAGTAGTTTGGAATTAACTCAACAGGACCATTCAAACCAATATGTCTGTGCTGGTGTTTATGATGGTGTGTATCTCCTACTACTTTAACTCATCCAAACAACATATCCTTTCTTTCTGTCTTGTGTTCTTAAATAGCTTCCTATTAAACATTACTTTGATATTTGCCTCAGTACTCCACGTTAGGAAGTTCCAGATTCCATTTCTAAGTAGAGGTATTTCCTGAATTCCTTTATTGTCTTTACTGACAATCTAATACTTAATGCCCAGAGTATTTTTTTGACTCTCAAGCGGAAATATTTTCTCTGAATCTAGTCTTTCCTGTTCCTTCATATCTTTAAAGACTGCCATCAGTAATCATCTCTCAATATATTTTCAAGTGGCCCTAAGCCTGTTCAGTCTTTTTGACTATTGTACCCTCTCAATGTAAGTCCCATTCTCATTTTTTAAGGGATAGAGGTGCTGGAGGAAGTTTTTGTAATACGGAGACCAGAATTCTCCAAATAATCTTCAAGCCTAACTAAGAATCAATATATATTTAATTTATCTGCTTTTGATTTTGATTCCTCTGGAAATGAATCCCAATGATTTCTTTGCACCTTTTTGCTTTTGTTAACCTGCTTTCATACTTCAATGATTTGTTGTTCCCGTATCAATAGATCTCTTAGCACTACAAGGAAAAGGTTACTACTATGTTGACATGGATGTTAATTTACAAGATTCACTGGTTTTTCTATCAACTATTCTTCACGATGTTAATACTTGCTGTAATAACAAAACGTTGAATAATCTTAGGTACTTCACTATTAAATGGAAAACAGTGCAATTTGTACAATGTTCAGCACCTCTTGTGTCCTCAGATAATGAAGTAGTCCATGTCCAAATACAGCAAGACTTGGACAATATCTAGGTTTGCCTGATGTGTGTGTGCCAAAGATGTTGCTTACTACTTTTCAGACAATTATTATCTCCGAGAAAATCTAACCATCATCCCTTGACATCCAATGATATTACCCTCATTGAATCCTTCGCCATCAACATCTGGGGTTTGCCATTGATGAGAAATTGAATTTTATCAGCCATATAAATACCGTAGCAACAAGAACAACAGCAAGTAACTCCTCTCCTGACTCTCCAGAGCCAATCCATCATTTACAAGGTACAAGATGGGAGTGCAATGGAATACTGCCCATTTGCCTGGATGAATGCACCTACACCAGCAGTCAAGAAGTTTGGTATTATTCAAGACAAAGCAGCCGCTCTTCTGATGAAGAGTCACCAGACTCAAAACATTAATTCCGCTTTCTTCCCACAGATGCTGCCAGATTTGCAGTGTTTCGCTAGTAATTTGTTTTTGTTGTGAAAACAGCATGCTTGTTTGGCACCACATCCACTACCTCCAAACCCAATGCTCAGTAGCAGCAGTGCATACCATGTACAAGATGCTTTTCAGAAACTCACCAAGGCTCCTGCGACCACTTCCATCTAGAAAGACAAGGTACCAGATATATGGGTTTACCACTTGCAATTTCCTGTCCAAATCACTTGTCATTCTGACTTGGGAGTTTATTGCAGTTCTTTTTAATGTTGCTGGGTCAAAATCCTGGAACTCCTGTTATGGAATTGTGTGTCTGTCACCTGTAGCGGTTGATGAAGGCAGCTCACCAGCATCTTAAGAACAAGTGGGGTCAGCAATAACTGATAACCCAGTTAGTAATGTCCAGAGTGCATGAATGAATTTTTAAAAAAAATTCAATCTGAAGTTCAAACATTGTACCAAATTAAAATTATGCTTTTAATTTGATCAATATATTTTCTTTGTGATAAAGAAATAGTGTTTTTTTTTCTGAAGTAGCTTTGAGGAAAAAATACCATGTAAAATGTACAAATCCTTTCCACCCTTCGTGTTTTCCGCACACCCACACACACACAGATTTTGCGTTTGTGCGAAGTTCCTCATTTTACTCAATTGTTTACAATTAAACAAAGTTTTGATGTAGAATATCTTTACCATTTTCAGCCTCTTAAAGTTTCTAAAATTTATTCAGATGAGGGGACAATTAATGTTTCCCTCTTGGAAAAATGTTTCAATCTTTTGAAACAAAAAAAAAACTTAAAATAGTTTCTCTAACATTCAATTTTTGTTACAACGTTCATTATATTTTGGTAATGTTTCAGTTTTGGCAAAAACCTCGTGTAGTTGTAAAGAACTATATCTCTCCGGTAACATATCAGATTCTTCCATTGTTCCACTTGGTGAGCAAACTAAAAACCACTTTAGAAGCTAAAATTTGAACATCTGTGGAACACAATGGAAATCAAGAACACCAATGGCATAATACAGTAATCTTTAATCTGTGGGTCAGTATGTTCTTTATGACTCAGTCTAGGTGACCCGAGTTTACTGGAGAATTCAAAATGACATGCTAAGAATACGTATAAATTTTATATCCGCCTCAGGTGATGCAATATATCCCAGGCTGTTATGGCTGGCAAGGAAGGCAATTGCTGGTGCAATGATGGAGATATTTAATAATTTAGCCATGGATGAAGTGCCAGATGATTGGAGAATAGCTATATATATCTGTCGTCGTCGTCTTGTGTGTGTGTATGAACGTATATATAAAAAAGCTAGAAAGAATTTAACACAAACATCAAAACAAAGTTTCAACCTGTTTTCTAACACCATGTGTTATGGAGACTGTACTCCAGAGAAATTGCACCCCATTTTATTTCTTTCAGTTTCTACTTGATTCCTTCTTTGACCTGTGGGGACTATTTGATGCTTTTTGAGTCTGCTAACATAAGGCTCTCCAATTGTCCACTTCCAATAACTAGCAAGTTTCTATCTAAAGCAAACAGAATGTTGGAGAAACATAGCAGGTCTAGCAACATCTATGGATAGAGAAGCTAAATGTTTTAAGCCCACTATGACTCTTCATGTGTACGTGAAACACAAAAAGCTAGCACACAGGTCGAGGAGGTAATCAGGAAGGCTAATACAATGTTGACCCTAATTTCAGTGGAGTTGGAGTATAAGAATAGGGAAGTCTTGCTGCAAATGGACAATGTGCTGGTAAAAGCTCATCTGGAGTACTGTGAGCAGCTTTGGTTCCCTTAAGGAAATTTTCATTGGAGGCAGTTTTGAGAATGTTCATGAGAGCTATTCCTGGTTTAGAAGGATTGTCTTGTGAGAAAAGGCTTAACAGGTTGGAACTCTATTCACTGGAGTTTAGAAGAGATGAGTGATGATCTTATTGAAACATTTAGGACTCTTATGGGGCTTGACAGCATAAATGCTGAAAGGATGTGTCCCTCGTGCGAGAGTCTAGTTTCAGAATAAGAGTGCCAATTTAAGATTGAGGTGAGGAGGAATTTCCAAACTCAGAGGGTTGTGAGTCCTTGTCACAGAGACCTGTGGGGCAGAGTCCTATATATAAGTCTGGGATAGATGGATTCTTGACCAGTAGGGGGATGAAGGGTTATGGAGATAACACAGGCAAGTAGATATGAGGAATTTCTGATCAGCCAACATGATTCTATTGAATTGTAGAGCAGGCTTGAGGGGCTGAACAGCCTACTCCTGTTCCTATTTCTTATGATCTTATTGAACTTCAGAATTTCAACCCAACTCTCCTGGCTTGGAAACTGTACAAAGTAGACACTTCTGATTGGGTAACCAGCTTCCTCCTGAGGGAGAACTAGAAGTTCCTTTTGAATGCGATCTGGTGTCATTACAAACTAATGCCTCAACAATATTTCATAAATCCAAAAGTAGAAAAATGTTGCATGAGCATAGCTGGAGTTAGATCAATGCTCCAAAATAATTTGCTGAACATTTTTTTCCAAAAAGGAAATGCTAGTAACCAAAATCCACCTCCCTCTTTTTTTTAAAAAAACAATCCAAATTCCAAAGTTACATTGGCACCATCCCTACGTTGATGACTGTATTGGTGCTGCCTCGTGCTCCCATAAGGAGCTTGAACAGTTTATCCACTTCACCAACACCTTTCCCCCCAACCTCAAATTCATGTGGACCATCTCCAACACTTCCCTCCCCTTCCTGGATCTCTGTCTTCATCTCCAGAAATTGACTCAGCATTGACATCCATTTCAAACCCAACAACTCCCCTGGCTCTCTTGACTAAACCTCCTCTCATCCATCCTATTGCAAAAATGCAGTCCCATACTCCCAATTCCTCCACCTCCACTGC